GAGCAGCTGTTCCAGTCGAGAAAGGCAGTGAACCTTCCTGCACCACACGCACTTTAAGGTAGATGGAGAGCGCAGCCAGTGGTCTCACGCTTTTTATGCCAAACTTGGCACACCTGGAAAGCCACAACATTTTTGTATGAAATTTATCGTTATTATCATTATTTCTGTACAATAGATAAATGTGGCGTCGAGTGTCCCTGGACATAGGTATGGAGAGAATCAGACGATTCCAGATCCAGAAGCAATGCACTGAAAATGTTTGATTTCATTCAAGTGTCTAGATTGGTAAAACACCTCTTTCATTGTGAGGCTGATGTCATATCTTAAACTATTTTCTTGATGAAGTGCTTTCAAAAAACATTTATTATGGTGTCCATATTTCTGTGACTTCATTTTTTTCCTCCTGGACTCTGTTATAACATTTCTCATGACACATTGTGAAAATATTTGTAGAGATTGTTTATGGATAGGAGAACTTCTGCAGAGCAAGCTGGGTGTGTTGGCACGTGTCTGTGTTCAGGAAGAGTAAGCGGGTTGTGTCCAGTCAGCACCAATGCTGTTTCCAAAGATTTGAAAAAGCAATCATGTACTTAACATTTGAGCGTTCAGGCAGTACATCTCACTTCTAGTAAAAGGTTTTATAAGACTTCAGAGCATTTTTAAAAATATATCCAACAAATATAATCTACTTCAAGGGCTACTACCTAGAAATAATATTAAAGCATTTAATTCTTTATGCTGCTGCTTCATTGTACAACGATTTTTTTTGTTTCTTTGCTCTCTCTTATTCAGCTACAAGACATCAGCAGTCTAGAAAATTACTCTCTGCAACTACTTTGGAATATACACTAGCTGTAAAAAAAAATGATATTGAAGTACAGCTTAATATCTGTCATGAAAAATATTTTTACTGCCAAAAGCTGATTCCTGGGGGTAACTGGCTTGATAGAAGCATTTGCATGCAGGAGTCACTGCAGTGATGCACCGCACTGATCAGACAGCAAAGAAATTAAATCCGGACTGAGGAGAGAACAGAGGTCACAACACGCCGGCGTGCCGCCGGCTGCGGGCATGCAACACACAATGGAGAGAAAAGAACTGCAGGGAAGGATTGGAAACTGATGTCGTGTTGGAGTGTCTTGCATTAGCGCGTCTCATTAGCGATTCTGTGTTATTTTCAGTTCTCTGAGAGTCTTCGTTTAAAATGCAGCGTGGCTAAAATACAATAAATAAAAAAAAAATCCTTGTATTTTCTAGTACACTAACTATCAAATATAGTACATATTACAATTGAAATAAATTTTCAAACATGCAACATTATCCTTTGTGAAACCCTGTGTTTTGTAGTAAAGAAGAAATTCAACTCACTTTTCCTTTGGCTACAGGATTTTATTAACATTTTAACGGTTTTGTTTTACATAATAAATAAGCAAAAATGCTTTACATTTTTAGGGAATACATATATAATTCTGAGCATTAATAGGTTGTTTGTTTTGCGTGCTTTTTCACCTACATTTGCCAAATAGCTTTTATCTGCATCATATAAAAAAAAAGCAAAATCTAATGTTCAGGGAAAAAAAATGGAATAATATTTTCTCTGTGTTGTGTTTGAAGTATGACTGAAATGTTGAAAAAATACTTGGTGTCCTGGTTTGTGATTTTTAGAGAAATACTGGTATTCTGGCAGGTTTACCGTTCATTTGCACTTTTATCTCAGTGATATATTCTCCAATGTTATGCTTATTGTCCACTGTGCTTAATTTCATTAAATTACTTTTAATACCCTTTTTCAAATTACAGGGCTGCTGCAACCTGGAGAGGAGTCTGTTCCCTTATCACCTTCTTTACATTGCGGTGTTTGTATTGTTAGTACGTTAAAAACTTTGAGACTTCCATGTGGGATGGAAGTTTCCAGCTGTACGTGTCAGCAGAATACTCCCTCTCTCACTCTCTTTCTCTCTCTCGTTCTCCATGTCATTTCCTCGCTAGGTCTGAACTCCCCTGAGAGTTAAAACCCCATCAAGTCGCATGACAAAGGTGTCCATAGTGGCTCAGACAAGTATGGTAGAGAGAAATGAGGTTATTTTTCATAATATATTCCAATTCACACTCTGCTTCTGTGACATAATTTTTTCCAATTATTAAGAACCTGGCCACTGCCAGTGGCTGTGCCACATTCTGCAGTACGAGTGTACTATGAGCAGCTGTAGTCTAACCGACTAAAAGTCGTATTTTTCTCTCAATATAATTTACTCACATCCCAGCTGTGAACATGCGATTGCTGTTTCTATTTTGGAATGGCAGGAAAAATGTTTCACACATTTGCTTTTTTAATCACAGCTCTTTTCTAAACCTGCCCTGTGTTATCATATGTGAATGCATAATTGATTCATTATTGCCTAACAGGGAAAGTTCATGTACCGGAATATCATATACTGTAAAACATCTGCGGGAGAATGATGGAACACCTCCTCTGCTCAGGCTCATTGAGTAGAGCCTGAAAGTGTGAATAACAAGGTAGACGCTGGAAAAACATTTTGTGGTATTTTACTGAAAACTATCAATGGCATTTTTTTTTACCGGAGCCTAATTTGTGCATTCCTGAAAGCATGTTCTTATAATGAGAAGTACTTACAAGACCAGAAGAGTACCCCAGATTGACTTTGTGTGCAGCAATGCCACTAACGAGGCATAGAGAAAAGTGTAGTATGAGAATTGTGCATCAGATTTCTCTTTAATGATGCAAACAATGTCGGTTACTCCTTTATAAGGCATGCTTTTAATTTAAGAAAATTAACATACAAGTCTTTCTTAGCTAAATTGCCTCTTTTTAAGGAATTGGGCCCATTTATTAGTATCACTGGCTGGGAAAGCTGTTGAAAACCACCTTGTGTCTCATTAGTTTGTAAAGTCAGAATGACAATAATGTTCACTCCTACCACTTCTGTAGACTTGCTAACGTCTCTAGCGTTAGGCAAACCGAGTTACACCAAGTGAGTGAATATGCTGGTTTGGTTCTGCTTTTTTTGATTTTAAGTCGGTATTCTGGTAGTGGCTGATGAGGTATTTTTTGTTACATTTATCACAAGAGATATTTTTCATGCTTTTTTAGCAAATGAAGAAGTCCAACAACTGTGAACTTCCAGGTGAACATCAATTTAACTTCATAATAAAGCCTTCTCTGCTAACATTTTAATAGGAAGCAATAAAAATACTGAAAATTGTTTTCAAACATATGCTTTAAAAGTGTTTTTGTGTACTCATAGCAATAAATATTCATACATACAAGGTGACTGATTATTATTGCCGCATGTAAAACATGGAGAACATGTACTTCAGAGAAGTGTGTATTTCATTACATTTTTATCTGAGAAGGTGCGATCCATGAGCAAGTGTTTTTCCATATTGCACAAGCCAGGTAAGCCTTTTCTTTAGCAAAGGTCTCTTTAGAGAGAGTCTGTATAAGAAAGTTTTAGAAATGTAAACTAGCCTTGAATTGGGCTAAGGAATATAGCTAAGTATAGCTGACTCGGATCTACGGCAACCTTTGCTGTTGGTATTTACAGCTGTTATTCAGGGAGCCGTTCACTGCTTTACCAAGAGCACGCAAAGAATGTTTGGGAAGTGGTTGAAAAACAAAGTGGATGGACTGTCGTCAGTTAAACACACACAGATCCGAATGTCTCCTCGTTTGTAAACTTTACAAAGAAGTAAAAAAGGGGGAAATCTCTTCCTAGTAGGCTGGAAAAAATGTAAATGTGTGTCGCACGCTTTCCGCTCACCACAGTTGATTAGCCGACATGGAGATGTGCACAAAGCGTTCCGTTCCAAGCCCCGATGTACTGTTTTACTCTGCTTTACTTCAAGTGTGACTTTGGCTTTTGTGGCTGTGCAGCGACGATCGGCTTTCCATATTCGGATTGTCCACTGGCATTATTTGTGAAGTGCACGAATCAGTCAAATATTAATCTTACCTTTGTGTTGACAATGAGATTTATGCTTAAGGAAGTTCAGTGTGTTAAAAGCTGAACTTCAGACTTCAGAAGGCTACTGGTAAGTTTAAAATAAAGCATGAATGTGCTGTATACCCTTGACTATAAAGAAAACATTTCTGGTGCTATTATGAAGATGTATTTTTGACTAGCTGGTTTGCAAATCTGGCCCAGCCTTCTCCCAGAATACTCAGTGAAACACACTTTTTTGAAGTTTCTTTTTCTTATTACAACATTTTGTGGGGCATAGTCTAGTTCCTGCTACGTGATTTGTCCCAATTCGCCATGACAAGACCTGTAACCCTTTAATACGTATCTTTGTATGTAGTAATTTGCCATATCATTCCTTGTTGAGATACATGGTGGCAGTCACAATCTCAGAACACTGAAATCTATGTTAAATAAATCAAATCTGGATTTGATTTATTTAGTTTTAAAACTTCTGGATAATTAATAAATAAGCTTTTTTCCAAACTTGAGTTCTGTTCAGTTAGTACAGCTGTATTATGGATTCTAAAAGTCACCACTGTAAACAAAGTTTGTTTATCGAGATGTTTAACACGTGGGTGGAGAGACATGATGTAAGGTGTCACACAGGTTGTCAAAAATACCTAAACTAGAGTGTATACTTTATGATAACAATAAAAAAATCTTGAATGTGTTTTGAGAAGGAGGGGTTAAGGAAAAAAAAGTTCTTCATATAAATCTCTGCGTAAAACACCTATCATTTAATTTTGTTGCACACTATAAAATAACAAAAATAAGATCTGTAACAGGTCTTCTGACTGGCACCAGAGCTTAATCTGTGACAACAAAGCACTGAAGCTAAATGTAGGATTTTTTTCCTGACCTTGAAGGTACTGTTACACGTGGCTTGCCAGGAACACACAAGTCTGTCCCTCATTGACCTTCAGCTACGCTCAGTAAATGCAATCATGTTTTCTCATGCTTTTTGCAAATCATTACAGTTTGGCTTCTTGATTAAATGTAAATACTCTTCTATTACCGTCACCTTCCATTGGCTATTATTACAGAAGTTCCAATATAATGGGGTAGTGCAGATTCCTTGTGGGTTTCTGGAGAAGAAGCTGATGAAGGGCTTTGGTTTTTGTAAATAAATGTATTTACTTCCTCGGAATTGTATCCATAATTTTCTCCTGCGTGTCCTGTCGCTGTACATGATGAAGTTTGAAATGTACCATGCTTGGCTAAAACATGATGATAATTTAGAAGCACAAACGGGACTTGTCCAGAGGGTCTCACATCCATCACACGTTCGCTTTCAGAGTCATGATCAAGCTTTACAGTCATTCTCTCATCGCTATCCATTTCCTCTAGATTTGTAGCGTGGTGACTAATATGCCCATATTTGGGTTCTTTCACACAAATCCTTCTGGTTTGCTCATATACTGAGGGCATTGGCAGGAGATGACTTAATTGTCCTATAGCTTTAGACTGGAAACATTCTGACTTTGGCAGCAAGGAGTTAGCTATGGAGTTTGAGAAAGAACTTTCATTAATGCTCATTTTTTCTTGTAGGTCTCTGTTAAAAGCTAACTTGTTTTCTTCTTTAATGAGGTGGTGAGGCGGCTGAATCCTGTTTTCTATCTTGTTGGGTTTCACGATGCCAGAATCATAAATCTCTTCTTTGTATCTGCTGCCTGGCATGGATGCTGTGCAGCTTGTAAAGTTGTCGGGTAGGGCATCTTGGCTGTATCTTCTGTTTGATATGGGCACTTGCAGGAAAGAGAAAACATGTTAATTACTGACAGTGAGCTCGTAATAGTTAGATTATAACACTCTTTATGACTGAACTTTAATGCCCATTTGGCCTGGGCCAGATCCAAGTCCCACTGAAGACATCAGCGACATTCCCATTTGCCTCAAAGGCTTTGGATAAGTCTCCTTAAGGCAGTACTGAAAAGTAAAACCAACCGCAACCCACTCAGAAGGGCCAACAGTGTTGAACAATTCTGAAAAGGTTTTCCATGTGAAATGCCCATTTGTTTATTTGACTGAATAATTATAAATCACTGTCATTATTAATATGGTTAAATCAGGGAAATTAAACCAAATAAATATTTGGAAATGTGACCTCCTATCAAAAGCCTTGGCCTTAAGTAAGATCTTTTCTGAGATTTATCAAACCATTTGCCAAAGGATGGATAACATTTATTAAATCTCCTGTCACTGTGGAAGTATACTGGACGCTTGCGCTTGTAAGGAAAGAAGAAGAGGGTGTGTAGTGTTAGACACCAATGTGCCAACGTCTAATCTGAGCGAGCCATTTGTGATACGTGTAACATCTAGATTTTGTCACATTACAGTCTTTGGTTTTTCACTTCGAAAAGCTAGCTTCAGATATGAAAAACATCTATCAAAAAGCAATATAAATACTTCTCGAGTAATGCTGTACCTCGGCTTTTAAGGTACTATCATAAAGCTATATGTATAATGTAAATGTGACTTACAACATACACTGAGAATGTTTGAATGCGAGAGTACTAAGCTGGGTATGCATGGAAAATCGAAGGTTAGATTCTTAAATTTTCAAGAGAGTATGAACACAGGGTTTCTATTCAGGCTTGTCCTCTAAAATATGTCGAGTAATCTTAGTTTTCTCTTGAGTTTCTGCATGGTAGCTGAACTCATGGAACAATTGTTTTTACCATTTTCTGCTTGGCTTATGCAGCTTTTCCTTTCTGTACACTCCTGTCTCCAAACAGGACGAGAAAAAGCCACTGGTTTCCTCCTATACAGTATAGCTAAAATGCAGCAAGTACTAATTTTTTTGCACTGTCTTGTACGAACAGTTTGGCAGTTATACTACTCCTCCAAGGCATATTTGAAAGTTTTATGTTAAAGGTTAAATGAGGCACTTAGCAAATTTCTCAAATTAAACCTAAACTCTATTTTGTGTTATGCTCACTGAAAGCCCTGGACACCTAAGTGCCTTTTGTAAAAGGGATTTTCTGTTTTTCTAAAAATTTTATTCAACATCTTAAAAGTTTTGGAGTTCCCCTGTAGTGGTTGCTGATGTAACTATACCTGCTAATAATTAAATATTCCCTGTGCTATAGTAGACTGGCAGAGCCTTCATGTATAACAGGAAGCAGAAATAGCTCAATTGTACCTTTTTTCATATGCAGAGCTTCATTAATTTCAGAGGGAGTTGCACCACATAATTAACACCAGAATTTAAACAGGAATCTGGATCCAATTTCTTCTTGATCAACCCACCACCCTCCTTGAAACAACAACCTTTCAAGTTATTCTTTTTAATTTCCATGCATAAATTTTGTACCAAAAAGAATATGCAGTCCTAAGTAAACTGAATTCTCATCAGCTGTTGAAAAATGGCCCTCTTATATCACAAATCAAAACAGGGATTCAGCCGCATGCTTGAGATTTTACCATTACCATTATAATTACCATAGTAATTATACTGCTATAATTTTAACTCCACATTTGGCATTTTTACTATGAAATAAGTACCCATGCTGAGAGCTACTGACATGTAACTAATATAGTTTAACTAATCTGGTGTACTGGTTTTAGTGTTGTTCCCACTTGACACATCCACAGGGAATGATGGGTTTGTTCTCTCACTGCAGCACAGACTATTGTTACCTTATGGTTCTGCTCTAATTGCTGAACAAAAGATTGGCCTCTTCCATTTTCGGAGCCCACACTTGTAAGAAGCTGAAGCATCACAACTACCGGTTGGCCCCTGACTTCATTTTTGTAATCTCAAGTTCTGCTAGGCTGATGGCTTCCTTCTTGGTACCAGAAGTAATTTGCATACTTGGGAGATTTACAGGATGTTATCCATTTTTTTTCTATCCTGTTTCTCAAACATGGTTTTCATCTCTTTTGTTGAGGAAGAAGGTAAGCGTCTGGTTAATCGTTTGCAGGCTTCCATTAAAGTTGTCAGCACAGTCATGGAGTTAGACCAGGCAGTTAAGCAAGTCGTGTCTGCAGTGCAACAGAGCACGGCAGTTTTTGTCCGCTCACATTCAGAACAGTTGCTGGAGCTAAATTTAAACCTGCTTTTGTCTTCCTTCACAGGCAAAAACCCAAGGATGCCCTGGGAAAGACTCCTGGTAGAGAGTTTTTCATACAGAAGTCAATGGCCAGCTGCACTGTCCTGCCATAGAAGGGCAGCACCCCAGGATTGCTTCCACCCATCTGGCATCTGGGCAGTTTTCAGAGTACCTGCCTCTGGTGCCCAGGGATCCCATACATTCCGCACTCCTGCAGCGCTGAAAACGCTTTGCAGTTGTTGAAGTCAGTGCATTAATCTGGAATGCTTTCCAGACCACTCTTCTGCTGGAGCAACTCAGCTATGCTAGGTGAGGTAGCTACACTGCACATCTAAGGTTGTATGTCATACCAGAGTGATAGCAGCTTTCTGGAAGGCCCTTTGTACTTACTTACACTGCCTCCATTCATAGCAGCCTACAACTGCAACAATGAGCTTAGTCCTTCGGGTATCATGTCTCCATTAATTCTTGCCAAGTAGCTCTGCTTTCCCGCTGGCGTGCAGGGTGCAGCTCAGGCAAGTTGAGGGAAAACCTGGAAATGAGAGCCCCATCACCTGGCCTGCTCAGACTTCAGCATCCCACCATCCATGTGGGAACAGGAAGGCTACTCTAGGAGATACTGATCTTTGTTTGAAACATCTCATGTATTCATGGTGTTGCAGCAAGGAGCGTTCCCTCCTCACCTTTAAATAGTGCAGTCAAAGATCAAACGGTGCTCAATGGGGAAAGATGCTTGCAGAAAAGGTATTTCATTCACAAACATGCCTTTCTGTACCAAGCCGTTAATAGTTAGAGATGCTCCTTGTTCTCTCATGGGCCCTATTGCAGTAAAAATGAAAGAAAGGCGTCTTGGAACCAGGTTAAAACAAAGACAGACTAGAACTCAGCATTGATCTTCATGCAAAAATTATGCAGTCTTTATCAGCAGAGTTTTGCTTTCTGTCTGTGAAAACTCTTGTCCGTTTTTAGGACACAGCTGAAGCCCTCTTCATGCATGCTTTGTCTTGCATAATTTTTCTTGGGCTTCCTGATCTACACTAATCTCAGAAGAGTGTACTCCTGACAGTTACTACATGTTCTGAAAAGACAATACGCCGACATTTGAATGTCAACTTCTAGCCCATGATGTTTCAATATGTTTCCTAATCCTTTGTACAAGAGGGCCTTCAGAGAAGAGGAGCGATTACTCAGTCACTCTGAGTTTTGCTGAAGACCAACGAGCAGACCCTCTGTACTGCTCAGGTCACGCACTCTTGTGCCGTAAAGGCATGCTGATATTCCTCCATGACAAACAAGGCAAAGATACAACAGGTCTTAATATTGTCCATGCCCATGAAAAAGACATTTTTTAGATTAGCTCAATATCTGTTGACTGTGTCCTGGTCTGAACCCTAATTGCAAATTATCTGAGGCATGGGCTGATGTTGTAATTACCATGTTCTCCATCATTCTTCCTCCAAAACCAATAAAGACCTCTTTGCCTCTAGTGGACTACACTTTTCAAAGCAGATGTCATATATTTCTCCCAGTAGTCACAGACTAAACCTGGGGAGTTGGTTTGGGGGAGGAAGACAGACCAGAGCTTTTTCACAGATTGTCTTAGTATTCTTCATCACTTCCTGAGTTTTGGCATGATTAGTGGCACTAAGCTTCACACAGATAGTGCAGAGTGGCCAACAGCGTAACTTAATGAGAAGTAGATACTGTGGTACCCGCAGTAGTAATGTATCCATTCAAGTGTGCAAAGGAAACGGCCCTGACTAAGAAGATGGTTGCCTTCTCTGAAGTGAGTTTCTTTTCTGACAACTAGGCCAGCTGGGAAAAAAGTGGAAGAAGCTTCAAAACCAGATTCTGAAGCAGCAGCATCTGATTTGCAGGCAGTTTTATCTGCTACGTGCTTTTCCAGAGCTTTGATGGCTTGGCATGATCATCTTAAAATCTCTGATCTCTCCAAAAGAAGCTATTTTCCATAGAGAAAAAATGTCTCTGGCCTACGGCATTTTTGGCAGATGCCTCTGTGGATGTGATGTGGAATAGCCCTAGCATCCAACCCGGTTGCCAGATGTCATATTTGGCATTGCCTTTGGATTGAAGATAATGACGCTAAGCAGATCCTCTCTGCTTTGAAGCTTACTGGCTGTCAGTTTTTCAGTGAACGGCTGGAAAAAGCAGCAGTTGACAATATAAGGAAGATCAGATGCCCCTTTCAATTCAAAGCAAAAAGTCACTTCCAAAGGTTCAGATTTCTCTTCTGCCACCAGCCTTAGCAAAAGTACAACAGGGCTAATTCTACCTCAGGAGGAAGCAAACTCTGGAACAATTAGATATAAATCCTCTTTGCAGTGGAGGCTCTGTTTTTCTTTCTCCTCTTGTAACAGTGTGTGTGAACTCAAGCAATGATCTCTGACCAGGCCTGAGTTTGACCATATTCTTTTTGCTTTCCTAAATAGTATAATTTTAAGTGCTTTTGCAGAGAATTGATTATACCAGTTCAGTTTTCATCAAATGCCTAATAGCTAAATATCCATTAAAATACATCTGTGCTCAAAAGAGAACCCACATATTCCAAATTAAGCAACAGAATCTTCAGTAGAAGTAGAACCAGGAGTAAGAACCACTGGTATCACAGCACCATTTTCCTGTTCATGAGGAAATGGTGAAGGTATGCATGCATGATGAAACTGAAAAATACCAGCAGTTGTTTGCAGTTTTTTGTGGGGATTTTTTTTGCCCTAACACATTTAACAGTATTCCTGTGGAATCCTTTTGACTTAATATATTTACTAGGAGTTATCTGCCCATATCAGCCGACCAATGGTAAATTGCTTGTCTGCTGCTATGCTCACTGGGCTTTTCTGGCAAATGTAATGGCCACGATCGATTTTACAGAGTATTCTCTGAACTGGCTGTTCTTTCCACATCCATTCTCAGTGTATCTGATGGCACCCTCTGACCAACAAGGGGTGAATCTACTTTCTCAGTCAGTCTCATGGCATCTGTTAGACTGGAAGCAGAGAAGAAAAATTGGGCTGACTTCTGTACACCTAGAATAGCTTTATTCCTGCAGACTTACTGGGGATCTGCAGGATTTACTTCAAACCTTATACTTATCCTCAAAAGACGTACCTTTTTTTTCTTTTCCACAAAGATACAGCATCTTTAGAAAGGACAAAACCATTTCTTATTTTTTGTCTAAAGCTACTCCTTTTCACAGCCACTCCACAACAGGAACAAAAGAAAGCCAGCACATTAGAGGAGCATGAGCTCAGAAAAAGCACTTAACCTGCACTAGGCTGTAAGAAGAGCTTCAGTCTTGCTCATTTTCAACCTAAACACAGAACAGTAAAACAAAATGCCACAGCTAGGTGAGGTGAGGTCAATCAGCTAGATGAGGTCAAACGGTCCTGTGAAGGACAAAACCCTGGGCAGAAGTTATTTGCTCCTCTGTGGGAGACACACGCGATGTCTGATACCATCTTCTGTCTGATGTAGCAAGCTCAGCTTTTAGCATCTGCAGATATTCCCTTCAGAGCTAGGATATCTAATGTTATGTCCTTAAGTGAATAAATGCTTGTTTCTGGTACTCAAGAATCTTTAGCCTATCTTTTCTAGCTTTTTTATTTTAAATTTCCACTACTGCTTGCTCCATCCCATCCTCAGTGAAGTTAGAAGAAAGGAGTGTTTCCACCTAACATTATAACAGTATGTATGTCAACCAGTGAGTCCTCATCAATGATTTTTAACTAATTGAAATGGTGTATGCAGATAGATATCATGTATATGAGATCTGAGGATTAGAGTGTATCTTGAGCTTGTTTACATTTGATTTATAGCTTTGCAAGGTTATTTCATATAGGTTGCCACCTCAGAGAAGTCAATGTCTTCAGTGCTTCCTTCAAAGTATTTGAGCTGACCATCTGTATGGAGAGATAATGCAGTTGATCGGAGAGGAGCACTGAAGACATTTTCAACAAAAGCAGAAGACAGTGCATTTCATTTACTTATTCACTGTAGTAACTGTAAGGTAAAGACATTCAGAATGGCTTCATACTCAGAAAAGACAATCTTCAATTTTTACGGAAATGGATCACATTTATGTTAGTTTCTGTATGGGAGCTGAAGTGCATTTGTTTCTAACTTCAGCAATGACTTACCTGAGGAATTCCACTAAATACTGCTGATAGTGCAAAACATGAAGGTAAACTGTGACAGCATAAAAGGAATTGGTATCTCTGCCCCGTTCTAAAAGTGATTCTAGTGAATATGTTTTTGCAACTGAGGCTTTGATAACGTTCCTAATCAAGTGCTGATGGTAATAGGAAGAGGCATGAACATGTAAATACTTTAAACATAGCAGTTGTTCACGTCACTGTTTCTGATTTTCTGTGTTTCCTAAACACCTTATAATTCCTGTTTTCAAACCACAATTACAAATCTTTCCCAGACACCTCACAGCTTTTCTTTCTTTTTTTTTTCTTTTTTTAAAGTGACACCCACCTTCATAGCTCTGTGCAAGATTATGTCGGATGATGTTCACTGGCTGATCAGAAAGATTTTTGGATGGTGACTGGCTGTTGGGTACCAAGGAGTTGGTGGCATAATGCCACTGGCATTCTCCATTTGTCTGCAGCGTACTCAAGAAAAATCGAGCCACTTCACAAGGTGCTCCTTGAGACTGCCCAAACTTTGAAGGCAGCATTTGCTTTTTGCTGTTGAAGACATGAGAATCTACAGGGAAGTGTCCATAATGGTAGGAGAAAGGCAAGCTATATGACGGGGCATATAAAAGTTCACTGTTTTCTGAATGGAAGTTTTGTTCTTGAATGGTGGCAGCGTTCACTGCAGGGCTGGATCGCCAGTTTCCCACCTGGCTGCATTCCAGTTTGTCTGTTTGGAATGAGCTGTATTGCTGGGGGAAAGAAAAAAAAAAAAAAAAAAAAGGGAGGGGAAGAGAGTTAAGTGACTAACTTTTATATGAAACCACATAACATATCATACAGGCGCCCAGAACTGGGCCTCCTTGAACTGCGATCTCAGTGGCTAGAGGGACTGTGCATTTAAAGTTCCTTGTCTTCACGATAACTTTACCTTCACTTAACATGGGAACAAAAAAATATTTTGTCATCCTAATGTTAAGGGTTTATTTGATAATTTTGCCAGTTGGATTTTAGCTAGTAGGTGTAGGCAGAAGGGCCTACCAGAGGGCAGAAGTTTGTTGCAAAGCACTGGAAGTCACTGATAAATGGAGCAGCAGACCATGAATATGACTTTGCTTATGTCGGCATGTCAAGATTTAGAATGGTAGGAAGACAAAATCTGCCCCTTGCATCGGCTTCTAATCACAATGATTTTCTCTTTCCACTCTCTCCTACCCTCCTCTGCAAACTCCAGATGCTTTTTGAGCTCTCACTGTTTTGAATGCAGTATATGTGCTAGCTGCATTCACTGCTGGTTTAAGGTAATAGTAGCACCTTCCAGCAACATTCATTGCAAAGTCTCACAATGTCTCATGGTGGGTGTCAGTCTCACCAACCCAGTTTTATGGACAATCTCCATAGTTTCCTTTCACCTCTGGTTCTAGCTTACCCAGTGACAGTGAAACATACTCCAAATCCCACTCCAGTGCTCTGTTTGCTAGGATTCATTCTTATGATGCATTCTCCAGCAAAACAAAACTGCTAATACCTATGTGACATTAAGAACTCTGCACATCAACAGTGAAAGATGCATTCTATACTAGAAAGATGCATTCTATACTAGCTCAAATTTTCACAACAGAGCTATCCTTAGTACATGTTTTTCCTCTTTCTACCAAGAAAGTACATTGCTTTCAAAGTACTTTACATACTCCAAATCCCAAAGTTTTTGTGTTTGCATCCCTTGCCAGAACTGTTTTATACCACTTGTGCTGTCCGTTCCAAGAACAAAAGGGTCTAATTGTATTCCAGCCTACAAGGGAGTTCCTGTGGAAGAGCATTATAGTCAGTTTTACAATAAGTTGAGTTCTGCATGATCTCTATCCTGCCCCAAACACTCTGCCACAGCAACTGGTAAGTAAATATTGCTGAAAAAGTTACCTGTTGTGGGTAAGGTGTTGTTCTGAGTTTTGCCTTCATTTTATTACTTTTGGGTTTTACTATTTTCCTTGTTTCCTGCGAGGTAGGTACTGAGTTTCTGCATGAAAACTGTGACTTAGAAATGGTAACCTGGTCCAGTGACAACTGAAGTTCCTTATACTCAATATCTCTGCAAAAGAACAGTCCAATAAATTACATACTCAAACATACCACACAAATCCAAAATAGCTCCCTCGAAAATACACGATAGCTTTCACAATGTTTTCATTTTCATTCTTCCAAAATTTTCACCGAGTCTGCAGTGCGAGGCTGGGGATGTCAGCAGGCAGTGAATTTTATGGTCTGACCCTGTCCCCACGCAAGTCTATCACAAATGTTACACTGGGAACCACGTTACCATCTTTGTACTAAATGTCCCCACTCTCTGAACCTAAGCTGTGCCAACTTCTTCTCAGCCATCCGTGGCACCCTGCAGTTTGGAATCACAGCCATGTCAGCTGAGAGAAAGACACAGATCAATTCATCTGTCTCCTCCTCAATCAGGAATTGGTCTCTGCCCTGGCTCTCACAATTAGCCCTGAGGAAAGGGAAAGGAGCAATGTTCCTCTCCTGTCAGCACAATGTGCTTGTAACTAGACCACAGGAGCTGCAATGTTGTTTTTCTGACAGTCTCTAGACTTTCATTTCTGCTCTCTTCTGTTCGGCTTTATCTGCCCCACAGACAGGGCAGATTTTTATACAAAAGAGGCTAAAATCCAAATAAAAAACAGACTGTGGATCATATTTTGAAACATTAATTGATACAGTTCTGATGATTAAATGGTCTCCCCTGGTTTTGTCAGTAGCAACAGCAGAGCATATTTTTGAAAGGATAACTAGAGAAAAAAAAACCTACTACTCTCTTAATTCCTGTCTAGAACTCATTTCCATCACTTTTTGATGGTGAATAACCTGGAAGTAAATTCAGCTCAACAATATGCTGTTATACCCTGGCACAGTTTCCTCCTTTTTACTCAAATCACCCTAATTCACAGGACTTGAGCAGGTTGCAGAGCTGAGTCTTTCCCTCATGCTGCTGGCTCTCCCATCTGTACAGGAATGAGGGCAGCATTAGCCAGTGTGTCTAGGGCTGAATACCTACTTCAAGTAGTTTATGGAAACACCCTACGGTTTCTCAACTCATACACTTTAGCTCCCCAAAGTCAGGTATCAGAGACAACATTGTGACAGGCAAACACACATAATCCTACCACGCACATCATGCAAACACATCTTATTTTCAAGCCAGCTAAGAAATGGACCCATCTAGTGAATGAGGAGAGTGTATAGTTCCCCGGTTTTTTACATTATTCAACACTATCCCTTTTTTTCCTTTTCCCCCACAGATAGTATCTTCAGTCACAGTCTATTTCACTATTACTTATCCCTCTTATTCAGTATAGATTTCCATCTCTCTCAGGTGTCTGTCAAGATAGGAATCTTGTAACACCTTCATGACTTGAACCAGAATTCATAAATTGCGGGTCCAAACCACAGTGCCTTCACCAGCTTGGTGGGAACTACTTGCCGTTCTGAGAATGTAGTTTTGCCCTGAGTATCTGTGCAACCCAAGGCCAGTGGGGGATTCCTTGATGATTCACCTGTCCCTGAAAGGAGTAATGCTTCCCACCATGCCTCTGTCTCCCAAACTGACACTGTGACCTCTGTGGGGTAGCAGTAGCTTTCACTGTGTCTGTCAGCCCCGGGGCGGTTCTGATGCTAATTACAGAACTGGGATCCAGGTCTAAGCAAATGGCTACAAGTGGTATTGCATACATTATGAGGTAATCATCAGGGCTACTAGCTCCTTTTAGCTCAAGGTAACTGAAAGAGGGAGCATATGAGGAGAGAAAAGTGGCTGTAACATGCAAGCACGGAATGATACTGGAAGACACAAGTAAAGCAAACTTAAAAGGATTTAACTGGTAATGAATCAATTACTGATAACACGCAAAATGAATCAATTACAGATAACACGTAATGGTACAAAGTATTTTGACTTACGTAAGGACATAATTGACACTCACTATGCAGTGAGGCCGTGATGAACGGCTGTTATGCACAATAGTAGCGTAGCTCTGTACCCAAACCCAGCCTCCATGCTTGGACAGTAGTCGATAGTACTTGGTTGTGACTTGGCCTTTCACCAACACTGTGAATACAATACAAAAAATCACTTTGCATCACTTGGACTTGTGACTGCTTCCTGGAGAGATTTATTTGCAAGGCAGGGACTTCTGTCCCTCCTCCCCCTCCCTTAAACCTCCTTCTCCCACCAAACTTTAAATAGCTCCCCTGCAAAGGCATCTGCCCTGCCCCTTTACTTAGTTTCACAAGGTCACATTATTGTTTTCAAATAGTATGTTGCAAACTATTACGGTTTGTCTTCCTTCTTCTCCAGTTCACCCTGCTCTTTTATGCTTACATTCTGCAAAAACACTTACTGTTTCTAATCTTCTAACTGAAAAAGAGAAGCTCAAGGCAAAAGTATTTTGAAGCGGACACAACTAGCTTGAATTTTTCCATTTGGAAGCACTTTTGTCATTCATTGCTTGATAGATTATTGTGTATTTTGCAATGTATTTTATGCTACAGTGTTTTTTCCTCTGTAAGCTCTACATTTTGAAGGTTGATTTAAAAGAGGAAAATTAAAATGCTATTTGGTTCTTAAGCACACAAATAAAGACAAGGCCAGAGAGGTGAATCAGCTATCTGATAGGTTTCACTAGAAATGTAATCCTCTGTAGACCAGTATGGATTCTCTGTGAACAAAGAAGTTTTGGCATAAGGCTATGCTATAATAGGAGTTGTGCAGCATAGATTAAATATTTAATCTAGCCACAAGTATTTCTGGTTCAGTGCCAGGTATTTATCTAATGATTCACTAGAAGATAATGCCCAGCCTTCAAAGATGGTTCTTCTCGTGTGTGACCCTGGAGCGTTCCTCTAGGAAACTCCATCTTCTTACTCTCCTATACAATCAGTTATTTATTTTAACTTAGGAAATAAGGGACTGAGCTTGCTACACAAACTATGTCCAAAAAAAGTGATTAATAGCAGCAATTCCTTTATATAATACATGATTAAGAAATAGAATTACTGCTTGCAAATGTAGGACTTGTACTAGACTGAACTTAGTAGCAAAGCTCACTGTAAGTGCTTGGTGCAGAAGCAGATACGTAATAAGGAAATCGAACAACAGCTTTCTCTTTCAGCCAACTCTAGTAGAGCAAATGATCACTTGAAATAAAAATATATGGTCTTCTAGTTAGTATTTATAGAAGACTTTTCTGACAGGGAGGGCATCTAATGTTAAATTGGGCACTAAAGAGTGCATAACCTTTGGGGGTTCATTTACTGTTTGGTAATTAACTATATGGCTATCAGTTGTCACTGGGATTGGCTTTTTTTATTCAGTTGTTACCTGGGGGAGTAGGGGTTTGTAATTTCAGTAGTAATCAGAGACCACAATAAAGTAAATAGTGTGAACAGCCCAATGTGAGACTGGCTGAAAAAGAAGAGCAAGACCTCTTGTTCTTGCTAAAAGGTCTTCTAAGTCTGTAGTATATAGGTCATCTCTCTGGACTGCTTACTCTCTTATCCATCTATGCACACGTATCACAACGTATTTAAACTTTTCTTCAAATCCAGTTAATCTCACTAAGAAAATTAGCCTCTTACAAAATAATTATAGATGGGTCTTTCTGGCAGTGTCATTGCTCCTCCCATTACAGGGTACGGTATCCATTTGTTCAGAAAGGAACAAAATAAACAACAACATCTTGCAGCACATTCAAAAATGTCTGATCCTCACTGACACCAGTCCACTACTATTTAGAGTTTGAAGACTCTGTAGATATCAGCTTTTTGCCTCATACTTGCTGGTGTCCTTTTTCATACCTACATTTCTACATAGAAAACTCTATGGGGTGGAGGTGTGCCTATGTACAGATACTTAAGAAAATCATGAGGAATATGAGTGCAAGTATGTCAACACACCTACAAAATATAAAGGCATGTGTACGCTTTAAGTGCAATATATCGCTCCAAGGTAAAGGTCTTGCAACTGCTACTCAAAGATTCAATGTAACAATGCCAAATAAGTCTGTTGCAAACATATTTGTTAATAATGGAATCACTATGTTTCTTGGTGTTCTATAATCCAAATGGTCCAGTTCTAGGAGATGATTGATCATTTTGGCCTAGATCATCTAACAGATATTTTTTTGTAATGTGGTCTAGGCTTTTCAGAACTAAGGCTTCATGCTAGTTTAATGGTCAGTTTTTTCTTGAATTCGAAATGCCTTGCCACTCAGCCATCCAAAATAGAAATTAATGCTGTAATGGATTGCTGGCTATAACAAAGTTCTTCCGTGTGCTTTGGGACTAGCATTGACTTCTCTCTCTCACTGATTTTTTTTAAATCCCTGTTTTAGCTCTTCAGTCAAGACAGTATTTTAAAAGATGTGAGGACTACAGTGTTCAGCTTTCCTTCCTAATTATATGGATAAACCAATATTTCTCCTGGGACGGGGGGGGGACTCCGTGTCTCCTGCATTTTTAGCAATCTGGGGAAAGTCTGACCTTGGCTAGGGGACAGTAGCTGCGCTTCCGATACAGTAAATGAGGTCAATTTCCATTTGGCTCTGTGTTAAATTACCCTGTTTGATGCTGATTGGGAAACCTCAGAAATGAGAGTGAGGTAAATCCACCACCAAGACAGTCTGTGCAGGCTCAGACTTCTTGGTGGCCTCTGCTGCAATCAAACGGGGAGGATTCAGTGGCTTTAGCCTTGGCTCTTAGATGTGCCATTTGTAACTGGGTGTTCCGCTGTTGCGGTTGCCTCCTGGTTTAGCAGTCAAGCTGAAAAAGGCACTGGGCTGTCTGGGCTGGTCCTTCTGGTCTGTCATAGGTGGCTATTTTAAAAGGCTCCAGCAGGCTCAATGGGCATGTGGCTGGGAGTTCCCAGCCTGCACTTAAGGATACCACTAAGAGAAATGGACTTCTGGGTTCCTCACTTGCAGCAGTTATTGTTTTAGCTTCCCTGGCGCACACAACCTGGCATGTCATCAAGTCCTGCCCTCGAGCAGCATGGTCAGTGGATGGTGCCCTAGCAGACTCTACAGTTCTGCCCCCTTAAAAACTAGTGCAGCTCTGCCAAAAGGCTTGATTGCTGGGAGAGCAAAAGCAGACTCAATGCCACGGACAGAGCATAAACTGTGCTCTGCTATAAGATGGGTTCTATAAATACATAGGTTGACTTCCAGGAAGCAGCAAAACAGTTTGGTGCTGACATCAGCTGGGGCATGCCTTGCCAAGGTGCAGAGATGTGACTTTTGTAAAAGTTTATGTGGGAAGAGCAATGATGTTACAACATGTAGGATGCGCAAAATCAAATTAAGTGATTTCTCTGAGGCCATAAAAATAATTTGTCTGTGCTAGAACAGAGGAATATTTTGTCTGTGCTGGAACAGCTTCTCTATCCTGTCTTTCAAAATGCAAGATCCTTAGGCAGGGACTCATTATTTGTGTGGCCACTTTTTCCCAGTTGCAGAGCAAACACTGTGTATATTGATGGTGCTATAGAAATAAATAACACTAGTTCAAATGCCAGAAGCTTTTTCATATAGCTGGAAGCTAATCAAATGTTTAAAACAGGAAACACTGTTTGCTGCCAGCACCCCTTAGGCAAATATTCACATCTACATTTCCCTCATAGTCTGATGTTCTTGATATATCCCTTATAACTTGTTCTCCTCACTGTTTGTTTTGTTCTCTTTGTGCTGCCTAACTTAAAGTTCAGTTGCTTTAGGTCTTCAGTTTGGGAATATTTTTTTCCTCTTTGAAAAAGCAATTGGTTACCCTAGTTTAGGGTTGCCTTATTTTTTTCTTTTCTTTTTTTTTTTTCCCTTAATATCCTTATTAGGTGCAAGATGTTTCTCTCCAGATTTCTTCATCAGATGACACTTAATCATCAGATTGCTTTATAGAACAGTACGTCAAACTTGCCAACCTTTTACTGTTCATGTTGCTAAGACATGTACTGATGGATGGCGGGGGAGTTATAACAGTGCTCCCCAGAGGAAGTTTGTACACTTTACATCTGTTTTAATAATTCCTATTACTTGGTATTCTAACCATGATTCTGTACTGTTCCCACTGTTGCCCAAGCATTAGCCATTATTTTTTCCTTCTTGGTATTTATTTGCTTTGAAACGTTCATAAATTTCTATGCATATGTCTCACATTTTTCTTCTGTTTTTAAACTTTACAATAATTTATCTTTGTAATTCAGATACAGTATCTAGAGAACTGCTTTTAGTTAATCTGTTTGGTTGAGGGTTTGTTTTCTTTCTTGTGGGAGAAGGTGGGGGGGTTAATTCAGTAAACATGATTTGTCTCTTTATTTAAAACTCCAGTTGTACATAGATCAAACTGGCAGCCAAAGTACAAGTCTTCTACCACGCACACAGAATTATCCATCATTCTGCTCTAAAATGGAAAACTGTTTTCCAGATATGATTGTGGCTACAATGGTATCATCTATATACTGGTTGACATAGGTATTCCAAATAGTCTTGTGAAAATAATGAGTGATATTTTGTACAGGTCAAGAGTCACATCCAGATGCAGATGTTAACACTACAAAGAGGATGCCCCCAACAGGACATTACCATGTATCCCGGTCATTCTAGTTTTTAGTTTGCAATGGCCAAGAGTATTCAATGGCATTTTGGTAAATATGAACTTGCTGTAAAGATCAGTTTCTGCTTTCCCAGGTGTAGCACACACTGCCATCCACAGAATTCGGCACTTCGGAATTTCAGTACTGACTTGCCAAATACAGTTACAACCTCCTTTATATTCCAGAACCTCATCAAGAGCACATATTAGGGTGAAGAACTGACTGCTTTCTCCTTCAGGAAGCCTAAAAGAAGGATTTGATTCTGGCTGCTTTCAGCCTACAGGAGCAATCTGGAAAAAAATTCACTGACATTGGTTTTTGGATGTCATCTTTGCATCGTATGGGCTGCGGCAGACTGAGCCAAATCCAGAGTTCAGCTATTCCCTCAATTTGCTTCTCAAGTTAATGTGCTACTGAATGAACTACTTCCCAAATCCAGATGTTTGAAGATATGATTAGTGTCTCTGTTGGCAGATGGGGAATTATTAAATGCGTAATTTTTTTTCCTGACACTCCATTCTCCAAACCTCATCCACATGCTATTAATGAACATTCATCTAAGGATTTTTTGGGTTTGCATTCACTTCAAACATGGGATGATTATTACTAACATATTTCAGAGGAATGGGGAGCTGTTGTGTAATTTTTCTTTTAACAACAGAGGCTAGTAAAGTTCAGATTTTCTCCTCTCACTCACTCACTTGCTCTTTTATTTTTTTCCTTCACGGGTTCACCACCCAGAATCAAGTCCAAATTTTCAAAAGAGCCTAGATCCTTTAAGTAGAGAGATAAAAGTGGCCAGATATGTTTTTTTCAGAAGCACAGCATATTGAGTATCTAGCTTATTTGCAGAACTAATGGTTTCCTTAAGTGATAGCCAAGCACTTTTGAAAATCTAGCTCCAGTCAAGATTTGGAAAGCTTTCTCTACTTTCCAGCATAGCGCCTGTTGTCTGCAAAACTTCTCACTCTAACTTAATAAATTTTAGTTTAGCATTCTAGCATTCTTTTTACTTACACAGATGATGAGCATATCGTAAATGGAACACATCACAGCCATGAACATGGTGATAGAGGGTTTTTTCTATCAGATCTTGGGGCTCATATCCAGTTAATTCAGTCACCCTGGAAAAGGAAGATTTCATAATAAGCAAAACCTCTAGGTCTATTCAGTTTCATTAACCTAACATTTGATTGTGCCAACAAATCAGGTGCCTGAAAACTGCAGGACAAAATGTTAGTTTTGGAAACAGAATCCTCATCTTTATAAGAAAATAAACCCTCTCAACCCAGCCAAAGCAAGGTGCAGCTATTCCCTGGCCAGCCCTACACACAGGCAGGAAAAAAGGGTTCTCTTACTTACTTCCACTTTGGGCTTTTGCCACTGCCATGCATGATCCTTTGCGCAAAGATCCAGTTGAGGAGCCATTCATGAAACAATAAAACTACTCTTGTGGACTGTTGACACATTTTTCATTTGCTTTTGCAAACATAAAAGTGTAGAATGTATGTCAGTCCATAGAAGCCATGATCATGGTCTATAAATAGACTCAGGCTAACGCCTAACAGAAGAAGGAAGCAGGAGCTTATTCCAGCTGAGAATGTGGAGAGACAAGGAGCTATGAAGATCACAAGCTAAGAAAAGGAAGGCTGAAGCTAAACTTCAGAAAAACATCCTCACGTGATGAGAAGCAGAAAAATGGAACAAATTTGAAACAGCAGCATCTCTGCAGATGTTAAAGAACCAGACCACACTGGTCAGACTTACACTGGGTCAGACCTGAAGAGTCAAACTTCATGGTTCAAAATGGATTTTTGTTTATTTGGCGCTGTTGCTTGAGAACAAAAATCCCTAAAGTACATTGTGCAACTCAGCCATAATGTGGCTTGTTTACCTAGTGTAGCTGGGGGTGTTTTATGCTGTCCTGGGCTTTCTTTACCTAAAAGGGTAGAACAGAGGTACCATACAAAGGCATGTCTACATTAACAAGCAACACAGACTATTAGCAGGCAATCTGTAGAGTAAAATTATTACTGCTGGGGATCTACTTCTGCAGCAGCAGATGCGTCTGCATATTTTAATTTCGGGACTTTTACTTGGGACTAGCTCTAGTCTAGGCCTGTGAACTGAAATTTTTTATAATTGTTAGAGTGCCTTAGACATGCTCTTGGAGGTTGTCTTCCAGTTTCAATTCACTCAGATGGAAACCAGTTCACGTGCCTAAGGCCTCTTCATGACATAAACTGCAGTGCAATGAGTGGGGATGGTCAGGACATTCACTTCAAAAGAATGCTTCTGGTCTGAACTTAAACACTAATGAGGATACACTGTATCAGAGAACAACACAGTAGTATCTACAGAAATGAATACAGGGATCTCAAGCCACATGTCCTTGGGGGTTGCAGGTAATGTAAATTTTGATTACTTTTTTTTTCTTTTGTAACTATTATGCATCTTCTTTACTCTTACCCTAATGCCAAGCACTCATGGGGATCCAATAGAGACTGGGGACTACATTCTACTTGAAAGAGAGTGTGGCAGAGTGGGATTCTGCTGAAGGAAATCAGGAAGAAAAAAAAAAGCCTTTGCAGATTGATTTATTATAAATACAGTACAAATACATCCATACCTCCCCTAGCTATGCCTTCATCTGGGAAACTCTTGCATGCCTTTGCCTCAGTCAGGGACTGCCAACGCAACGCAGAGTGAGCACATGAGCTCTCTTTCTGCAGGAGGAGATGTGAATATATGCTTGTGTTTCTCCTCTGCAGTGTTCCCTGTCCCTCCTGACCTACAATTCTAGGGGCCCAAATTTTCACTTAAGCCTATCATCATGGCAAAATACTGGTGAAAGATCCTGCTCAGGTTTCAGTACTCCTTCTGACTTCAGTGCAATTAAAACAAGGGTGGCAGTTTCATCCTGGTCACTTAATTGGTGAGTACAGAAACAGCTAATCCAAAACCAAACAAAATGCCACAAGCCTAAGCCAGGTGTTAATTTTTCCGGAGGTGCAGCCTCACTTTGAAGCTGTTCTTCCCATCGGCCAAAAAATATCATTGACAGTTATGAGGACACACAAACTTTTGGAAAGTTTGAATCTGGAAATAAACTCGGTTGCTTGACTTCCTTAACACAAAACCAAACCCCTCAATAAGCCACTGTAGGGAGCCTGGGCTCTGAAGATTGCTCTTTGCATGTGACAGGGCACACAGAAGGAAACTGAGCTTGCTGAATTATGAATTCTTTAAAGCCCTTTATAAACCATGTAGCAATGAATTAATAGGTTGCACGACAAAAATCAGAAGCAACAGATCACTTTGGAGGGAAGTAACAGTCTCCTTTTTCCAGTGACCTTGATAAATGAACTCTCACGTGTTTTACATTCTATCAAGTGTCTAGAAAGGCTTATTTAACTGCTCCTTCCTATGGCTTTAATATAGGCCTGTCTGCTGTGACCGTTACCTCTACAGATCCAGCAACATTTTCCTTGTATGGATACCAGAAGCAAGCCTGAAAACAGTGTTGTCTTATGCCTAATATGTCCCTGCTCTGAGCAAATATAATTTGGTTTGCTCAGCTGGGAGAGCGAAGGGCTTCAGTAATGCTTAATACCCATGATTGTCCTGTGTGCGGATGACACCCATCTGCTCTTTGGTAAACACAGCTATGCAATAGTACTGGTTCTATCCGTGCTCCTGTCAACACCTCTGGTTATACTGTCTCTTTTGAAGACACTTATGTCTCCAGGCAGTTCCTCTTAGGCTCATAATGTCCTTTTTTCCACATGCAAAAACATGTTGCTGAACCCCTTGTGCTTCTTTGTAGCTGTTACATTAAGTAAAGCATGCCAAAAAAAGGCAAGGATTCCAGAAAAAACTAGGTCTTTCTATTTCAGCAGCTGATGGCCCACTATCTCATTGACTTAACATGGAGGAAGAGCATGTTCTTGCATGGTTGACCTGCCATGCAAAACTTCCCCATTGTCTTGGATATAGACTCTTTCACTGTTACACATTAATATCGTTTCTGTTTCTTGCAAATCCAGCATGCCAGGAAAATGAGAGAGCATGTCACATACTGCTCCACGTGCAGGGATTTTTGAAGAATGATCATCTTGTCAATAGTTAAATCTGTTATATCACCTGGGAATTGGGCTTTTCCCTTCAAGGTATCTTGAACTGCACTGTACAAAGTATCATTATATACTAAAAGATTACATGTTTCAAAAAGAGAGGAATGAATCATTTCCAACTCCTTCAGTTCTGGTTTTGTGTTCTTTTCTTCTTAGCTGGTGTGTGAGCTATATTGGCTGAGAACAGAGGCAGGGTTCTCTTTCCTCAGCAATAGCCATTTTCCCAAGTTTTTTTTAAGAAGGCTGTGTTTTCACGTAGTAGCCAGTTGAATTCATTTTCATTCTAACAACCCCATTGGTAGGTTTGGTTTCATTGTTCAGTCATTACATTAAAGTGCAGAAGACTATGTTTTCTTACTACTCTGTCAAAAGCTTTCTGGATTACTCCAGCAAGTCATTTGACCTCAGTGTTTCAGCTGTGGGGTGTTTTTTTTAATTATGGATGATGGTACATCCTTATTCCTTTTGCTAGCTTTGTATGTTAAAATTTATGTACTTTGAGGCAAAAATGTGTTACTGCTCATGTGCCTATTACTCACAGCAAGAAGGCTTTAGTTGACTCTGAAACTGTAGGTAACTATAGGTTCAATTGTACAGGCTCTTATATGTTGGTATTCAAAACAAAGTATGGTCTATCCAGCTACCTGAAGGGCTTTGAAGACCCACATGGTCTTTGTGTTCCAGATCTATTTTGGACTGCTTTATTTTTCCATGGATATTTTGATCTGTTTGGAAATTACTGTAGCTTATGAAAACACTTGACTTCTTTGAAAACATTTTACGCCAGAAATGAAATAGCTGCTTACCTGGAATCTAGGAATATTAATTTTAAGTCCAAACTTGCTCTGAACATAAACATGTTACTGTGAAGTTTGATCTCAGTGATTGCACTGGGAGGTAAAGATTGACCTACAGCCACCAGTCCAACGATTTGGTAACAGGAATCATACAAAGACATATCTAGCATATACTGCCGTATCTTCAAATAGCCACTGCAATGGATCACCTGGCATGAGAAGAAAACACACTCAATATCTGACGGCAATGGAAGAGGCTGCAAATCAGCTGACCACCCAGTTTCAATGAGGTTATAAAGCAATACACCCTTATAACACTTAAATACTGCATAGTCTGTTAAGGCTTCAGAAGTGTGGTTAATTTATAAATGGAGATTAAAACACAGTAAATGCAGTTTTTGTGTTTACTACCAACACGATTAATCCAGTATCAAAGCACATGCTCTCCAGGGCTATCTAGACTGCTTTCTGGTTAATACTTTAAACTCTCTTAGCTATAGTTTTTTTGTAGATAGTCAGAACTCCTGTTCATTAATCAAAAAATCTGGAATTTTCTTTTTTAAATTACTATCTCACACACAGAGATATATATAAACATTTACATTTTAATGAGTTGTTATTCTGATGAAAAACAGATACTTTAAAAATCCAGTGGAGATTAATGCATCACATTTATAAAGATTAGCTGCTGTGCACTAGAAATGAGTTTTAAGTTCTCCACTCAAGTTCAGATTGTGGTCTTTCGACATGTGACCAAGCCCAGGGTCTTGAGACCAGATTCCTGAATCCTCATATACAATTCCTAATCACAGGAGTGATAACTTCAGTGTTAGACTGTAAAAATTCACAATGTCAGCTAAGGAGGGGGGAAAATTGTTATCTGGGGACTCTTCCAGAACATAAGGTTTATTTAATGTAGTGCTGGTGTTTAGAAATCATTTGTGCTCCTGCCAATTTTCTAGTCCAAACAGCAAGCATACTACACATCCTTCAGCTTAATTTCTGTATTTGTTTGACTTAACTGTGTCCAATGGAAAGGAATTAATTTCCACTGTATTTAGTACTCCTGAACAACCTACTAAACAGTCACCTATAAATAGGATTCTCCTGTGTAACCTTCCTTTCTCCTTTCTAATCACCAAGTGATTAGTATGTTTAGCAGAAGTACAGTAGCAAGCAAAACTTACGTAAGATCTCTCAGCAGATCCCACTAATTCTCATACTATTTGATTCATGAGTTTTTGCTGCTCTTCAGCTACTAAGGTGATATTTTCAAAATTATTAAGTCCTGACTCTTAAGTACAGTCAGAGTAAAATTAGGCCAACATCTCTCTAGATGAATACATTCCTAAATGTTTCACTGCATAAACTTTTAATAGTGAGCAAAAGAAGAAAGAAGGTGATCCCCCTGATGAGCAGTCATAAATGGGGAAAATAAAAAACATACAGAGGTACCACCACTACAAGCTCTACTCTTTTACCTGGTTTCAGATTCAGCTTTAAGACAGAATCATTTTTGCTGGGAAGCAGCTGAGCAAACAGGGGTCCATGTAATGAAGAATTATCAGTCTAACCAGGTAGATAACAATGTAAATAGACAAATATGTATATCTGGACCTTGAACACATTCCTTAAAAGAGCTCTGCTTCTCTTGCATGCTTTTCTTTAGTTTTTGAATGACTCAAACAAAATGAATCCTCATCAGAATGTATGTGAAGTGCCCTTCTCTCCTGATGCTTAGTGGTAGAATTATACTGTGTAGTTCAAAGAGCAGCAAATGCACACTGTAAAGCTGAAAATAAGAACTACCTGAATGGCAGGTGTTATTATAGAATCTCAGCATTTGGTGTGGCTTCTGATTTCATGTAATAAATAGAAAATCAATACAAGCAATAAGATTTATAAACAAACTTGGTGGTTTAGTACAATTCAACCCTGAGTTGATATTCATGATTGTTTAGGGTAACATTATGGTCTCATTAACGTTGGGGTAATTCTGGTCAGGTCACTGAGGTGACTTGTGCAACTGAGTGGCTGCTCAGCCGGAGCACGGTAACACCGAGGCAGAGGGATGCTGGAATACTTCCAATTTCCTCTGTCTGGGTTCCTGCCTCACCTGCCTCCCACTCCATAGGGGAATAAGACCTGGTTGTGCACTCTCCTTGCACCTCCATGGGTGTGCTCCAGCCAGTTGCCCAGTTTGGAAGATCAGGATGTGGGAATGTGCCACAAAGCAAACTCCAACTCACTGTGAGAGTCTAGACTTGCATTACTAAGGGAATGTGCAATCAGCAGTGGCATTTTTTTGCATCTGTCCTGATCCTTTCCATCACAGACTTTGCTTTCAGCTACACATATGTAAAAAAACCTAAATAAATAAACTTGTCACTTGTTGAATATTTGGGGGGGAAAAAAGAAAGCCTATATACATTACCTTGTAGCCACTGCATGTCAGTCCTGCATTCCTCTTGGCTAGGACACACTTCATTCTCAGGAAAAATGATCTCTCAATTTCATATTCTGAAAGCATAAACCACAGTGCTTATTTATTACTGAAGATTTCAAACCTGTCCATAACATTGCTTTTCATGATTTAACAGATGTGTTTATGTCTCAGCCTTAGGCAGCAATAGAAGTCAGCCATTCTACTTTCCTTCTCAATCCCCACCCTCAGGATTTATTTAACCTTCAAGTTAGGATTCCCTGTGAAACTTGGACAAGGCAGCATGACTAGGTCTCCAATTTTCTGTTTTTACTGCCCTTGACGAGGCAATCACCTTGTTTCTGAACAGCTAGGAACCAGCCAACATTGGTAAAGGGAACGAAAAGCCTCCTTTGGAGCATAAATAAATGAAGATACTCTCCAAAATAATAGCAGAATGAGAAACAAGAAAATTCATTGGTTTTGTAATAATTTGAGTGTACATAGCTAGTCATGCCCAGACTGATGAACTTCTGGCCTCCATATGCAATATTATTACCTGTTTCACTGACTTCCAAAACCATCTTGGTAAATGTTTTTTTAAACAAATGTCTTTATGGATAACCTCCATAAATGTTTTAAAGTTAAATATTACTCAGGTACACACATACTTTCTGCTATGAATAAGTTAGTATTCTCTTTAACATTAATTATTTTCAATAACACTTCAGGCATCATTAATAGTTCTGACTATTTTTTACTGAAAGTTGCAGTTTGGCGGAACACAACTGTATTAGGAAAAGAAAACTCACTCATCTGTGAATAGGAAAATCAGGGAAACAGAGGGGGTTTCAGATTTGTTGCAATGTGAATTACTTCCTAACTCCCCACAGGGTTTGATCCAAAGTCCACTGTAATCAGTTGGAGTCTTGCTTTAATTTAACTGTTGAGTTGTGTTCCCAGTTTTTGTGTACCCAGCACACAATTAACACCTTTTAGCCACACACCTGCAGTGGTTTGAGTCTCAGACCACTACCTGGAAACCAATAAACTCTCTACATTAAGATCTGAGTGTAAAGTCTGAAGATACAACCACAGAAAAAGAATTTAGCAAGGAGGGAAAAGAAATGCAGTATGTAGTGCATCTCAACTAGTATCAGCCTTCCTGAGTATTTGAGTTTTCCATTTATCTTCCTAAAGCAAATTAGGTCCGTATGGGGAAAAACAGGCGCTTAAATTAACTGGCACATCTACTATAGGATTTTAAATACAAATGTATACAATTTGGTGGGAGGAAGCCATACAGTACAGATTACTATTGCTGAAGCATGACCTCATGAGTAAAGAATGGATCTGGGAGTCGGGAACATCGGTGCAATTCATGGCTTCAATACAGATTTTCTGTGTGACTTAACACTAGTGCTTGCTCTCTTTCTGCTGCAGTCCCATGCACACAAAATACAGATAACTTTCTCCTTTCAAGGGTACTAAGGGAGAAAAATAATTAACGCACTGTAATGAGGGTACAAAGACCATCTTCGGACATGAGCAGAGTTGCTAGCAATTTGAATTACATTCTTCCATAAAAAGACATGATTAATGGAATGGGATGCAATGCCTTAAAATTCTCAAATGTCCTGCCACATGACCTAAAAGAGTCTCTTTCAGTAACAAGCTCCTTCCACGCACCTTATTCTTTAGCCTTCCACTTGCCATTTCCTTCATTTTTAAATGCTATTGCAGACTAGTGCGCTGCTACAGAAACACTCAGTTAGCTCTAACTTCACTGTTCCACCAGGAATAGGTTATGATGTACAATGTGGTCTTCAGGTGTCTATAAAACTGGAGTAGTACACAGACTGTAGGATAGCATTTTTCCTATATTATTTAAAACTGGTAATTATTTCATTATTTAAGAAGAGGTCTTGTCTGCCTGATTTCTGGATGGTAGATTGTAAGTAACAGGTCCCCCTGGAACACCAGTCCTCATAACCAGCTACAGGCTCTCTAGGAAACCAGAAGGGTGATTAAAACAATTCAAGGGCAAGGATGGGGTGTGGTATAGGAGGACAGAGTAAAGAGGTATAGAGTTGCACCCTAGCACTAAGCGGTATGGGGAGGGAAGGGTGATAGAATTGCAATTCAATAGTAGCTGCATGTGATTTGTGGGACTGAAGACTAATAATCAGCAGCTTTGTCATGTGTAATCAAGTGCAAAATGATATAACTGTAATTTAATAATGATGTGTTTATTAATTATTGATCATTGAATGATTAGGTTTTTAGTAGTGTGTTGCTGAACCAACAAACACTAGTCTCTTAAATCAGTTACATCTCATGCCTGCAATCTGAAGAGGGAAGAGTTACCCATGAGGTAACTGGGGACTCATCTGGGAGCTTCCATTTTTGAGGCTTGAGCTAGAGGATATTAAGATGCCTTAAGTAACCAAAAGGAGAGATGGCCCATGTGGCCAAACAGAATCTGGGTCCTGAGTGACATATCACCTTTTTACCTGAAGAGGCCAAAGTAGTGTATACATGATGATAAGCATTCCTCCTCTCGTGTGTATTAAGAGTGATTGTTTGAGTTTTGAGTGAGTGATTGAGTGATTTTAAGAGCCCAGTATTGCTGTGAGAGTTGCCATTTTTGGGGGGGAAAAAGCAGAATGTGTCACGAGGAAAGCCTGACCATTCCTGGATGGTCTGGGGCCATAACAACTGTTAACGCAGTTATTTAGTAATGCAGCGTGTCCCATAGCATAGGTGGATACAGAGTGCCACAGCAGTTTTAACCAGCCATCTGGGATGGTTACATGGCTGGGCAAGGCTACTGGTTGTGTCAAGGTGCCGAGTGAATAATGTGTGGGTGCTACCTGACATCTGGCATCTTGTTTCCAGGATTGGAGCTGAAGAATACAAAAGCTACCACAGAGAGACCCTTGTGAGTGTGTGAGTACAAAATCTACTAGCAAGCTTTGAGCCTGACTCACTGGCAAGGAAAAGCAGGATGAGGCCATTCATTTTTTCATGCTTCTGTGAGTGCTGTTAGTGTGTCTGTGGTGCCTGCAACAGCACTGTTCTCCTGTCCATGTTGATCTGTCATTGGTGGGCTCTGTGTACATATGTGTGTTTGTGCATGCCTACCAGGAATAAAACCATCTCCAGACCTGATGAAAAGACTGCAAAATATAAAGGAGCAGTAAAACCAAAACCCTTACATAAAGAACCTAGGTGTGCAAGACTGAACAGTGTGAAATGGTATTTGTATTAACTGATACCTTTGCCAGTGTGACTCCCCAATGCCCCTGAAAGTAGCAGAAGGGGTAGCAAAGCAAAAAAAAAACCTAAAGTAAATTTGGAATTGTAAAGCTGATTGTGAAATAAAGAGCCCTGGTATCCTGCTGGGTACTGACACATCCATCAATATAAAGCAAAACTTAAAATATCACATCCAGGCTGTACCCGATGCAATTCGGATGGTTTACGCTGATGAAGAGAATGTAGAAAGAAAATTAGGTACTTTAAGGTTTAGCAGGCAAAGAGGGAGAAGCTGAATATTCAAATAGGAGAAATCAGATGAGTTGTGAGAACATGCATGTCCTGCTGCAGAGGTTAATCACAAAATTGTGAGGAGATAGTAGGCATGAAAGCTCAGTTAGAAAACAGGAAAAAAGCCTCTGGCATAAATAGCTAGCACCTGCTGTAAAAGCAGAATGACTGGAGATGTCTAGGGGTATAGAATAAGTCTCAAATTAGGGAAGACAGAAAAACAGTAAATGTAAAATAAGCACTTCAGGCTTAAGTAAGAGGTAAGTAAGAGTTAAGTGATTTTAACAATCAGAAGTAAGTTTTGAAAAACTGCAAAAATATAACAACATAAAGCATCTGGACCTAGTAATGTAATTATTGACATCACTAGTGTTCTTTCAAGCAAACATCTAAGCACATAAAGAAATTCTTTCTCTTATTCTCGCACATAAATAAGAGAAAGAATCTTGGGCTATCAAGAAGAAAAGAGGCTTGAAACAGAAAGGAAACCAATCGAGTGATACAAGTTTTTAACTAGTTAAAGGTTGAGAGAACTGTGGGTTAAGCAGATATATATGAAACTTAGGACAGAGAATAATGAATAGTAGATGTTATGATTGAATGAGAATATAAACAACACTGAAGGAAAATAGCCTTCTAAAGTATTAGAGAATACTCATACCATCTCATAACCAAAGCTTAACCACTGTAATTATTCTGAAATGTTAAGTAGATAAATGTATCACTATAAGTGGTATTAACACCTTTCCTTTAAGTGTTAAGAAGATGTTAAAAATCTATGTATAAACTATGTCTGTTTGTATAGAGAAAAGATGAAACCAACAGGTTGCGGACATCAGCTAATGAAGGACAAGAAACAAAATGCTACCAAGTAGATCAGAAAGTCTTATGGAGATGTTTCAGTTCATACCAAAAACCCCCTACTAATAACAATCTTTGTTATTTTCTGTCTTCCATATGTACCACAGAAGAAAAAGTAATCCATTCTACATTCTGCTAACTACATATTGCTTAGCTTTGGTTTTGTTTGTTGTGTTTTTTCTTTTAGGAAAAGGGGGAATAAGAAATAAAACAGGATCCAATGTGAAGATGTTTTCATCTCTAACAAATGAAATCCCATTTCTCTGCAAGAGGATGTACTTCATATTATTATTAGTGATAATGATTAAAAGCACTCTATTAAAGCACTGTAATCTCTGTGTATGTACTCTGTGTGTGTGTTTGTACAGATGTAACAATGTATTTACAACACAGTATTTTTAGAGCTGCAAGAAACAAAGGAAATTTCATTAAGCATAGCAATGTCTCCCGTGGTAAATTGTACTTTCCAACTGCACCTTCACAACACCTGGAACTGAGATAACTGTATCTTCACACAGTGTGGTATTGGGGATATTTTAGATTGGAGTAACACAAACTCCTATGTAAATTCACATTTGTCACTGCAGGAGGTATTATATATTATATTGTTCCATTGACTACAGCTTCCAGAAGCAAGCTGAAAAACTGGAAAACTGACAAGCTGAATAGGACAGGACAGGACAGAACA